GCGTGCATAACCTATGCCTTTCTGAACTTGTGTAGTACTTCTAAAACTCTCTAATATGCGTGACGCAGGGTTTAGTTTCTTGGCAAAGACATTGTCTAGGCCACAAGCAACATGGTTCATTGTGGGTATGACGCATTTATTCAATTATGTCCTGATTTCAGAATTACTTTGTTTCCTCTGTCCTTCTCAAAGTAGAGGACGTGTGCCGGAGGCCGCTGGTCCTGCTAAGTGGATTGTCAAATTGAAATGAAGTGTGTCATGACATAGAGTCACTGAAAGATGTGGAGGGAGTTATAGAAGAGGTTGTTTTCAAAGTTTCCAGCTCCGTGCTCAAGGTTCAGAAACAAATAGACTATTGTGGAACGAAAATCTCATTTTCATATAGTGAATAATTTCAATGACAGGGCTTCATGATAGACAACAGATTGTTCAAGCAAAAACCATGATAAAGGGCAGAAAAAATAGATTGATTTAGGGCTCTTTAGCCGACATCTGCATAGCTGTTGTTTTGGCCGTGTCGGAGATGAAACTGCGTTAGAGCTGTCAAATCCACAAGTGGCTCCTGGCATTAGCTTATACCTAAAGCCAACATTGCCATTGGCTGCACAGAGTTGCATTAACAGAAATCCCATGCAGCATTGCTTACAAGTTTGAACACTGGAATGTGAGATGTGATCTACACCTTAATTAAGATGATAGAAATCCTCATTATTTTGTGAATTATTTTTCAATTTGAGCGTAATTATTTATATATAGCCTACACTTTCTTGTTCTGAACTTCTAACGTGAGTGGGGCAGGTGTGGCTTCATAACAATGATCGCAAGAGCAGTTGCTAACCGATTGGACAGCTCCAACGCAGTTCCACCTCCAACCAAAACATCCGCTATGCGGGTGTCTGCTGTCGCCATTAACACTTGATTTGATTGAATCTAGGCCTTAATGTTTTTTCATGAATTGTTAGTTTAAGTTATTTTATAAAGCATATCAATACATTTAACGCATACATTATTTATTGAATAACTTTTTAAAGAATGAGGACATTTAACATTTATATTTCAGTTAAAACAGGGAGAAATTGTAAGGGCATGATAGGCTGTAGCATGAACCAGCGTCAAAGCTTTTGATGTCACCAAGGTTTCTGTCGGCTGCACAGTGCATTCGGAAAGTATTCAGACCCCTTCACTTTTTCCACATTTTGTTACGTTATAGCCTTATTCTAAAATGGATTAAAGAAAAAACCTTCCTCATCAATCTACACACAATACCCCATAATGACAAAACGAAAACAGGTTTTTAGACATTTTTGCAAATGTATTATAAATAAAAAACTGAAATACCTTATTTACATAAGTATTCAGACCCTTTGCTATGAGACTCGAAATTGAACTCAGGTGCATCCTGTTTCCATTGATCATACTTGAGATGTTTCAACAACTTGATTGGAGTCCACCTGTGGTAAATTCAATTGATTGGACATGATTTGGAAAGGTACACACCTGTCTATATAAGGTCCCACAGTTGACAGTGCATGTCAGAGCAAAAACCAAGCCATGAGGTCGAAGGAATTGTCCGTAGAGCTCTGAGACAGCATTGATATGGGGAAGGGTACCAAAAAGTTTCTGCAGCATTGAAGGTCCCCAAGAACACAGTGGCCTCCATCATTCTTAAATGGAAGAAGTTTGGAACCACCAAGACTCTCCGCCTTTATGGCAGAGTGGCCAGACGGAAGCCACTCCTCAGTAAAAGGCACGACAGCCCGCTTGGAGTTTGCCAAAGGCACCTAAATGACTCTCAGACCATGAGAAACAAGATTCTCTGGTCTGATGAAACCAAGATTGAACTCTTTGGCCTGAATGCCAAGCGTCACGTCTGGAGGAATCCAGGCACTGCTCATCACCTGGCCAATACCATCCCTACGGGCCTCCCGAGTGGTGCAGCGGTCTAAGGCACTGCATCACAGTGCTAGAGGCATCACTACAGATCCAGGTTCGATCCCGGGCTGTGTCTCAGCCGGCAGCGATCAGGAGACCCATGAGGCGGCGCATAATTGGCCCAGTGTCGTCCGGGTTAGGGGAGGGTCTGGCCGGCTGGGATGTCCTTGTCCCACCGCGCTCTAGCGACTCCTTGTGGTAGCCGGGCGCATGCACGCTGACTTCGGTCGCAGCTGTACAGTGTTTCCTCCGACACATTGGTGTGGCTGGATTCCGGGTTAAGCGAGCAGTGTGTCAAGAAGTAGTGCGGCTTCGCGGGGTCGTGTTTCTGAGGACGCATGATTCTCGACCTTCGCCTCTCCCGAGTCCGTAGGGGAGTTGCAGCGATGGGACAAGACTGTAACTACCAATTGGATATCACCAAAAAAGTGGTAAAAAGTACCATATTTAAAATTTAAAAGAGAATACCATCCCTACGGTGAAGCATGGTGGTGGTGGCAGCATCATACTGTGGGGATGTTTTTCAGCGTCAGGGACTGGGAGACCAGTCAGGATCGAGGAAAAGATGAACGGAGCAAAGTATAGAGAGATCCTTGATGAAAACCTGCTCCAGACCTCAGACTGGGGGCGAAGGTTCACCTTCCAACAGGACAATGACCCTAAGCACACAGCCAATACAACGCAGAAGTGGCTTTGGGACAAGTCTCTGAATATCCTTGTGTGGTCCAGCCAGAGCCTGGACTCTGGAGATACCTGTAAATAGCTGTGCAGCAACGCTCCCAATCCAACCTGACAGAGCTTGAGAGGATCTGCAGAGAACAATGGGAGAAACTCCCCAAATACAAGTGTGCCAAGCTTGTAGCATCATACCCAAGAAGACTTGAGGCTTTAATCTCTGCCAAAGGTGCTTCAACAAAGTACTGAGTAAAGGGTCTGAATAGTTATATAAAAGTGATCCGTTTAAAAAATCTAAATCTAAAAACCTGTTTTTGCTTTGGCATTATGGGTATTGTGTGTAGATTGATGAGGGATATATTTTTTCAAAAATCCATTTTAGAATAAGGCTTGTAACTTAACAAAATCTGGAAAAGTGAAGGGGTCTGAATACTTTCCGAATGCACTGTAAGTGCTGTACAATGAGTGTCTCTCATTCTCTCTCCACACACACACACGCAAAGACACACTCAAAGACATACACACACACACACACACACACACACACACAGGCACACACTGTCCCCTGGCACATCTCTACGTTGGAGTCTGACCTCTGGCCCTCTTCAGAGGTGGTCTTTGATGCCTCGTTTGTCACTTATTTTCTGAGTAATTGCTGTAACGAGCCCCTTATTGAGATGTTACTATTCCAATGCCAGTATGATACACAACAAGCCACCTGTTATGACATTGAGAATTAACACTAATTTAGAAAGGCCCATTTGAATTTCCAATAGCTTGATTTATTCCTAAATAATGTGTCAAATGGCACTGCATAAACATGGTTGTGTTTAAAACCTTACACTAGCTGTAGCTTATTTTAATTGTCCATGTCATGTCCTACTGATATGGTTGGTTTCAAGGTTTATTTCAAGGTATTCGAGAGCTAGTCTCATATAGACGATTGTTACATTCAGAATTGTTGTTTCTTTCCCAGTTCTCTCACCACTGCCATAGCTCTACAGTAGACTATGTATGGAATCATTTGACCTAGATTGTTTGTATGTTTTTATATGTAGGCTACGTGTGCCTTTAAAAAAAATGTATGTAGTTCTGTCCTTGAGCTGTTCTTGTCTATTAATGTTCTGTATTATGTCATGTTTCATGTTTTGTGTGGACCCCAGGAAGAGTAGCTGCTGCTTTTGCAACAGCTAATGGGGATCCTAATAAAATACCAAATACCAGTCTAAGAAATGTGTGTGCCAAGCTGCACCATTTGGCTAATCTTGCAATATCATTAGGAAGCCTGTATCCTCTCCCAACCCATGTGATGTACTAAACTGTACTAGTTGTACTGGCTGTATTTGTGACATCGCATCATTACCATACAGCCATGGGGGTGGGGGTAGATATTATTTTTGCTCCTTCCATTTGATGGCTCCCCATGGCTTCTCACTGTTTCTCCATTTCGTTTGCTGCCTCACATATGAATGGCTGGTTTAGTGTAACAGTCATAAATATTCAGAGCAATTAGCCATGGCATCCCTGTAAAGGGACTGACAGCATCTTCTGCTCGTGATCAGAGGTCCTGCTTGATGTGCCATAAACAAAGAAGATTTCTGATGCAGCTCATCAATCTGGGTCTTCACTGCTTGCTCTGTCTGTCTAATAGCCTGTCACAAGCACTTCACTCTGGATCAATGTCACACCTTTTGTTTCACATTTCTCTATCACTCCCTATTTCTGTTTCTCTTTTCACTGTTCTTTCTTGGCCATCCCTCTTCTCAGTCTCTTGTCCTATGATTGGAATGCAAAGGGTTAATTAAGGGGAGACTATTTGCATTACCTAAAATGCAAGTTGAGAACAAATTATCTTGTATGTTATGGAAATACAGGTTTAGGATCATGTTTTAGACACAATTATTGACCTCATTGGCATTATATGGAGTTAAATGGTTCCATTTCTTTGTAATGCATCTTATTGGAAAGTCCATGGTGTCACATAATTTCAAGGCAATATCCATTTGGTCTGACAGTGGACAGGTGTAAAGGGCATTCTCCAGACAACTCCTTCAAGCATACAGACAGACAGTGTCAAAGGGTCAGTCTCATCCATCTATTCTAACAGTGTCATTCGTCTATTCTAATAGTCTTTCTTTAATCCAATGGGAGAGAGATTAATTTTGACAGTTGAGTCATCAGATATCAGATCGGACATTGGGGGTGGTCCCATGGAGGTAGATGCAAAGGGTTGGGATGACGTAGGCGCAAAGCGTAAGCTTTATCAGTTGGGACGATCCATATAAATAACGGAAAGTTCCTAGCAGAAATTCGAAAAGAAAAACCGAGCCCTTTGAAAGAGTTCAGTTGTAGCCGATAGTAGCAATTGGACGAAGCACTTTAGACTGAACAAGATGCCATATTCTACATTTCCACTGCTGTGCGTCTTGGGGCTCGTCGCGCTCTCCTCCACGTGCTACATCCAGAATTGTCCGCGAGGCGGGAAGCGCTCTTTTCCTGATCTTCCACGACAGGTGAGTTTATTCGTCGATTTAAAATGGTTAATAAAGTCACTCAATTTTGTTTCCAACTAACAGTTGATTGGTTTTAATTTGGTTGTTCGGAATGGTAACGAGTCCTTTGGTGTTTTAAGAAACCTTCTTGGTGCAAATAATCCATTGTTTAAATTAAGTAGCCTATTTATTCTAATCAGTTAGGCCTATAGATGAAAATAAAATAATTATGTCCGATTAGAATCAAAGCAGCTTCATGTGGATAGCCTATATGCTGCCAGACATTCATTGCTCAAAATAGGGATGATTTTGGTGACATAATGGTCCTTCATGTGACTACTTGCTCATGCTCGCAATATTCAATCTAGACTCAAAGTAGTCTAGATACTATTCATTTCAACCACTGAAACGCAGTAATCAGCGGGAATGATACACTCAGGTGTTGTGTAGCCGTGTTTCCAATGCGCTATGGTCGTGCGTAATCGCGCTTTTATGCAGTGATTAACAATGGATGCTTTCATTTCCAGTGCATGTCGTGTGGTCCCGGGGACAGGGGCCGCTGCTTTGGCCCAAGTATCTGCTGTGGGGAGGGGATGGGCTGCTACGTGGGCTCCGCAGAGGCAGCTGGTTGTGTGGAGGAGAATTACCTGCCCTCCCCCTGCGAGGCTGGAGGAAGAGTGTGTGGCTCTGAGGGAAGCTGTGCTGCACCCGGGGTCTGCTGTGACTCAGGTAAGACGGTTAAAGACCGTAAATGGTGAGCTTTGAAACAGTTGCTTGAATATTTTACTGGTTTTACTAATGGGAGGTGACTTATTGTGTACTTATTTGAACCAAATATTTTAGCATCATCCACTAGCCATAATACTATGATTTCACTTTAAATATTTTATTTTTTTAATCTATCTTGATGTTTTGTTAACTATATGATTCATTTATTTCCTACTTCTACAGAGAGTTGTGTGCTAGACCCAGACTGCCTAGAGGACAGTAAACGTCAGCCACCCAGCGAACAGAACGCTCCCTTGATGGGCGGTTTGACAGGAGACCTGTTACGGATCTTGCATGCCACCAGCAGGGGGAGACCTCAGTAACCAACCACTGGCCGTCCCTCACGTGAACACACCCAGAATAGAGCCTAACTTCACCATTTCACATTCACTACTACTGCAAAAACAAATCTCACACACAGCATACACACATTTTTCACATACAACAGGAGACAGACACACAGCAGAGGTCGAGAGTGGGCTTGCTACATAAGGGGGAAAACTATCAGCTCTACATTAATGTTTACTGTGTGCTCAGTAGCCATCAGTAAGTTGTCATTTCTAATGCTTCAATTCAAATATGCATTGTACAATCTACTGGGGGTGGAAGGAATGTAAATATGTAGTAAATAAATCTTTTCTTGCACTATTAAAATGTGTATTTTCTATGGCTTACTGAGAGGTACAGTAACAGGCAAACAGCAGCTTTATAGGGATCGTTCACCACAAAATCAAAAGGGGTTGGTGCCAATAATTCTGTCTAAATTCATTAATTGATTTGCATTCCTATGGACCACATTTTTTAATTCAAGTCTGGAATACCACATAGGTAGGAAAGATTTAATTTTATAGGCGGCAGGTAGCCTAGCGGTTGGCCAGTAACCGAAAGGTCGCTAGTTCGAATCCCCGTGCAGACAAGGAGAATCATCTGCCGATGTGCCCTTGAGCAAGGCACTTAACACTAATTTAGCCCAGGTTCACCGTCGATACTAGCCGACCTTGGCAGTGACCCCACTCTCCGAGGGTGTCTCAGGGAGAGTGGAATATGCATTTACAATTCACAAATGCGTATTAATACACACTTGTACATGTGTGAAATAGGACAAATAAGCACCCACCAAATTATTAAGATTTGTCATAATATAATCTTGAACTTTCCCTTTCAGGTGATACTACAATGTGGGTGTATAAAAGAGCTGACAGGTATTGATAAATTCTTTATATCCATTTCTTACTTCAATAATACAAACATAAAAATGGGTCAAACGAACACAGACTTGTCAGTCAAACGTAATATGTAACCCCCTGATTTACCAGGGCTAAAATGAACAGATACAAAAAAAACTACTCAGTTGGAACATTTCACATTCCAAAACTGGATAAAATTCTTTTTTTTCTTTAAATACATTTACAAAAGATCATAAATCCGTTGAAATGAATAAAAACAAACATTTCGGCCGTTGACAGAGAAAGACATGACCTCTAGTAAGGTCTCACCAGGCACAGCTTAGCTACAGTACAAGGTTACATTATGGTTGCTATGGTTTCGGTTGCTCCAGTCTGGGCGACATTGTGCAGTGACACACATTCAAACATGTTGTTAACACATAACATTCAACACATTGTGTGCCATGGAGTGCTCATTTGTGCTGTGAGAAGCATAGAAAAAAACACAATTCCTTACTGAATGTCCCAATCATCATTACATTTCACTGTAGTCCCTTATATGTCACTGGGAGTCATCATATATATAATTTGCTTCAAAACAAACCAGGAAAATGAATATTAAAAACAAACAGAACTTCTCTCGTGAGGTCACTTCATGTAAACACAGCTTTCTGCACTTAGATATTCTTGAACATGAACATAACATTATAGCATCTGAAAAGGTTAACAACTTCGGAACATGAATCCCAGTTACAATTATTGTTTTTTTTTTGCCAAATACAAACACATTGGGTAACTGGTTGTGGACCACTGACAAAAGAAGTGTGTGTGGAGGTGGTTCAAAACACATTTAGGAATAAAACTAGCCCTCGATCTGTTATAATGCTGTCTTCAATCTGTTATAATGACACATAGCCAAATCAAGTGGTGAGGTCCTGAAGGTCAGTGCAAGCAGTGCAATCTCTCATGGCTAAAGAGGGAGGAAATACATGTAATGACCACATTGCCAACTGGTAATGGTATTTAATAACAAATTATCAAATAGGCATAGAAAAAGAACAGGTCAAGGCGCCGTAAAATTAAACTACAGTTTGGTGCATTGTAAAATGAGAAATGGGACTATCCAAGAGTGAGCAGTTATTTTGTCAGATTTCCTTAAACACTGTGCCAATTATATTTCTGGAGTCACGTTGTGTGTAACCTGGGGTTTTCTGATGATAAAGATGGGGCCTGTTGTACCTCGTGTTGCTGTTGTGGTTTCCCTGAGTCTCTCTCCCACAGCTGCAGCAGCTGGCCTCCAGCCTGGGGCTCCAACTCCTACACCAGGAGGCAGAGAGGGAGAGGAGAGGTGAGGAAGGGGAGTGAGACGCAAAACAAAATGAGTTATTTAGCAATATATTGGTTGTGCATCGTCCCCGACAAATAAACCAGTCATCTCACTTGATGTCTTGGAGGGCATTTTAATGGGTGTGTTTTGGAGATGTGACTGTATTGATGTTAGTCAGGTAACCCACCTGTCCGTCTCTGCTGATCTGCACCTTCTTGTTGTCGTTCCAGGGGTTGAGCAGCTGGTGGGCACACTGGAAGGGCAGGCTCTCCTTCCTGGTCCACTCCACACTGAAGACCCCCCCCAGCCCTGAGGAGCCCCAGTCCTGACAGCGCTCCTGCCCGATGACCGATGTCATCCGCGCATAGCCCTGAGCGGCACGAAAATGACATGTTAGTCTGCCAATTCTCCATTTCCTCTCACTTACACACACACACACACACACACACCTGAAAGTGTCCGGAACCCTGCACAGAGAAGACCAGGAAGACCAGGCTGCTCTCCAGGAAGGCTCTGTTGAGTTTGAGCTCATTGCTGGGCGTGGTGGACCAGATGCCTCTCTGCTGGGAGATGTCAATGTTCCTCAGGTTGCTGCTCTTCATGATGAAGTAACGCACTGGCGCACCGCCTGGCCGCGGGGACGGAGACATGGAGCACTGAGGGAGACGTTGAGTTAAGAAACTATGATAGATTTAGAGTTACACACTGGGATAAAGGACTTCAACTGTTGCTGGAGCCAAACCTGTAGTAATAAAGATATTGGTTATTTGTGTACCTTTCCTGATGAGGTGGGGGAGGGGCTGGGACAGGGGCTGGGGAAGCCGAGTGAAGACGATTCAGGAGACTTGGTGGCGGAGGAGTGGTCATCTGTGGAGCGCCTGGAGCCCTTGTCCCTGCTGCCATGGGGGGCTTTGGGCTGCAGGAGGGCCGAGGCAAGGGACAGTCTGGAGGCAGGGGAGAGTCTGGAGGAAGGGGAGAGTTTGGAAGACCTGGAGGAAGAGGGGAGGGGTGGATGGTCTGGGGGGTTAGAGGACTGGCCTGGAACTGGACATAGATCAGGTTTACAAAAAATTTAATTAACAGGTTGATATAGCCTTCGCTAACCTATAAGGCAGGGGTGGGCGACTAGATTCAGCCATGGGCGGATTCTTGTCGGAGCGGATGGTCGGGAAGCCGGAACATAATTATAATAATTTTTACACTGCAAATTGACCACAACTATGCCCAAAAAGAGATTGTATTTGAAAATAACAATCACTTCATACCTTGATTACATTGAGACATGATCACATCTTTTATTTTTATTTTATTTATTCGTGGGAATATTTGGGAACAGATTTCCTAAATTAAGCACATTTTTAGCTGAATTCCTAGTGATTTCTTTTTTTGACCCCCCCGCCAAAATAAATACACAAAACAAATGATATTGCAGGCCGGTTTTGGTCCGCGGGCTGCCTGTTGCCGCCCCTTGCTATAAGGCATTGTACTGTAAATACTGACCCCCTCTCCCCACCTGTCTGTGACTGTGTGTGAGGGGGTGGGGATGAGGGGTTCGTCGGGGAGCTCTGGGGTGTCAGGGCTGGCTGTGGGGCCGGGGGTCCTCCTGCTGTTGGCGTTCCTCCAGGAGGTGGTCTGGGGGGGCTCCTCAGAGGACATGGGCCGGGGCCTCTGGCCAATCCCTGTGGGCTGCTGCAGCCCCGCAGTCTGATCCTCAGCCCCCAGCACCTGGAGACAGGATGGGGATGTATGGGTCAGTGACAGGTACAGCTACCAGGTTTACAGGCCCATTTACTGTGGTATTTCCAGTATTTCTTTCATAATTTAAGTCAGAGTGTAGAACTGACCGACACCAGGGCCCGTATGGTGGCCTCATCCAGCTGGGACCAGGGCTTGGAGGGGGAGCGGATCCTCCTCAGGAACAAACCGTGCCACTTCTGCCTCAGCTGGAACACCAGACCCACCATCTGACAGACAGAAGGATGGAGGGAGGGAGGTAGTGAGGGAGGAGAGAGTGGGTTATACAGATAAGATGAACACTAGATGCAAAACTGCTGTTGAAATGAAAAGCCCAGTTGTATTGCTTGAAAGGCACTGAGTACATACAGAGCACATCAGCACTGCAAAATAACCAAGCTTTGTCCTCACCTCTCTGTCCAGTTTGAAGTTGAGCCACTCGTCGATCTTCATCTGAGCCAGGTGGGCCGTGGAGCGATCCTCAATCTCACTGTCACTACTCTCATTCAACATGTCATCTACAGCAGGAACATAGGTATTTGTATTTTATTTAACTAGGCAAGTCAGTTAAGAACAAATTCTTATTTACAATGACGGCCTACCCCGGCCAAACCAGGACGACACTGGGCCAATTGTGCGCTGCCCTATGGGACTCCCAATCACGGCTGGATTGTGATACAGCCTGGAATCGAACCAGGGTCTGTAGTGACGCCTCTAGCACTGAGATGCAGTGCCTTAGACCACTCGGGAGGTTAGGTTTCATCATTTACAGAATACACGTCAACTAGTGACCATACAGGCAGAGAGTGATATCTACAAGTAGGGCTGGGCGATACAGCCAAAATATCATATCACAACATTTTCTCATGTTGGCCATAATTCGCAGTATTTTATGCTTCTGAATAAAAGTTCTAAATAGATTAAAAGAGTAGTGCTTGACCCTATGATGGCAACAAATTGATTCTTAGTGGTTTTATGAGATTTCTCCATTGATTATTTTATACACAACCAAACTAGGACAAAACTGACAGAAGTAGTCCAATTTGTAGAACTTTCATTTATTTAGCACTGGATCAACCTATCGTTATAGACTATATTGTAAAAATCCATAGCGGTATATGGAGCCATACCGGTATTCACGATATACCACCCAGCCCTAACTACAAGAGTCTCTTTGGAGCAGTCATGACATATTGGTTTCCTTACCCTGCAAGCAGTCTATGGACAAGGTAAGACAGCAATCCATGCTTTGGTTTAGTTTGCCCGGCACGGTTTCCACATGCTAATGTTATTGTATTTGTGGCACAAATCCCATTCAAGTCATGGGACCGATATTAGCATTTTTCACACATCATGTCCAAATCATCCGGAAGTATCTAAAATTGATTGTGAAGCTCAAAGTCAATTATATGTTTTGAAAAATGCTAAAATCGGTCCCATGAATTAAATGGGATTTCCGCCACAAATGCTAAAACGTTAGCATGTGAAAACAGTGCCAGGGAAACTAAACCAAAGCATGGATTACTGTCATACCTTGTCCATAGACTGCTTACAGGGTAAGGAAACCAATATGTAATTTGGGTGAAATATCCCTTTAAGTGTATTACAAATACAGGCAAGACTTGAGTAATTCAATTCTTCAATTTAATTCAATTAAAATAAGGGGTGTTGGGAAAGACAATGTGTAGCAAAGGATAATTGCTCCTGTAAGTCGCTCTGGATAAGAGCATCTGCTAAATGACTAAAATGTAAAAGTAAAGGATGTTTCCTTCAGTTAGATAACCCTACCTTTCTGAATGGCAGGTTCTTGTAGGGCTGTGCTGGGCAGTTTGGCACAACCCCCGAAGATGGCTACGGTTAGGGGGGAGACCACAGAGCAGCAGCGGATGCTGGCTATCCTATGGGCTCGCGTCATCTCGTCATAGATCAACCAATCGGTGGGAAGGGACTGGACGGCCGCCACCTGACCATTGGCTGGGGGGATCTAAGAGATACAAGTACAAACATGTTTTTAGTTTGTTGCTTTGAGTCAGGGTTGGTTTGGGTTAATAGGGTTTGAGTATATATGGTTTGGACTGAATGTAAGCATAGAGTAAAAATAAATAAATAATGAAGACAGGAAGCACCTACTGTATTTTTAAGAAAACTGCCCTAAACAGGGTTCACTGAAGACCCTTTGCTCCACTAGGAGCTAAATAAGAAATAGGTCAAGTAGTTGGAGAGAGGATGTGTGCTAGCTACCTTCTTGTGGGACTGTGGCTGGCTGAGGATGGAGGTGGGGTGGAAGCGGACCCTCTTCTCCTTGGCCCCGGAGAGAGAGCAGCTCTCACGGTCCACGTGGATCAGGTTGGGGTACATTCCGGCCACCAGTGCTGCCTTCACCACTGACCAGTTCTCAGAGTTCAGGTTCACGTCACGGATGTCCCCGCCGCCCCGTGCCCGCACAAAGCCTGGTGGTGGAAAACACAATGGAAAAGGAATCAATGTCTAGATTTTTCTGTGAGGGAGCTGTCCTTCGAGGGAGCCGTGGTGGTGCTGTGTGCGTGTGTGTAGGGGGGAGGTGGGAGGGACAGAGAAATTCCACAGGATATGAGTAACGGTGGTGCTGTGTGTGTGGTGGTGGGGGGGACAAAGAGAAAGGCCACAGGACATGTTGGGCACCAAGACAAGTGGATGACTCACAAGGCTATTCATTTCACAGAGGACAAGTTGGAGGTTGTGTGGGCTTCAGTAGAGCATAAGTCTTTATCCAACACCACTTACAGTCAAATTAATACATTCAGTATACAAACCCACAACCTTGGTCCACCATGCTCCACCTGAGCCCTCAGAACCACTGTATTACCCAGAGGGAGAGCATACAACAAGACAGGTAAGGCTGACCTATTGCTCGGAGCTGTCCTAGCAGCTGGGTCCTCATTCCTATGATGATCTCCATGGTGGCCTGGGACAGGAAGTTCTTCTCACAGAAGGACCTCTCCCAGCCGTCGCTGCGGGCCTTCTGCCACGCCTACAACACAGCAGGAGAGATGTAATTAGGAATGATGTCGCTTGGACAGTGTTTTTTTCAATGCGATTTGTGCAGTCAAATCAAGCTAATAATGCATGAAAAACATTTAGCTCTAAACATCAACAGCAATTTGACAGAGTTCTTTCATTAAACCCCAAATTCCCCCGTTACCTGGAAGGCTCTGAGCAGGGCCATGTGGTCGCTGAAGGTCCCTGCAGTAAAGCGCTTCCGGCACAGCATGGATGCCCTCTTCTGGGAGGCCTGGGAGGGCAGCACGAAGGGGTCGCGATGAGCCAGCGTGCAGGCAATGGTCAGGATAGGGTCTAGACACTTGAGCACCACGGCACACAGCACCATCTTGCCCAGGTGGGGCTCCACAGGCAGGTCAGCCAGGTGGTAGCCCAGCTCTGTCAGGTCCTCCCACGGGTCCATGGCGTCTATGGTCTATGGATGGGGGATCAATTTAATGGTTAGTGTTGTGTTCTATCTATGGTCATTATGTAGTGTCACAGCACCAAGAACCGATGCCCTCCACCTCAATAACAAAAGTGGTCAATGACAAAGGACAAAAGTCAGACAAAATATTATTCAGGTCATGATTGGTTCAAAACAAAGAATACCAGCTTTTACCTTGAGCATCTGCACTGCGTTTTTGACAATGAGGATGGGAGGTGGCTCAGGTGCTTTGGACAGGAATTCAGCGATGGGACAGGTGATTGGGGCCAACAGCTTGGTGTGGAGACAGAGTTCCTGAAAGAGAGAGCGAAAATGGGAGGTGGTTAACTACCACAATCAACACTGCCTTATGAGAGTGTGAGGGGTATGCTTGCATGCAAGTGTTTATAATAACTTTATCTGTATAAAGTATGTTTCATACATTCTGCTTAAAGTGTGTGTGTGTCTACCTGAAGGGGCATCCTCAGTAGCTGGGGGACCTGGTACTCCAGCATGTTGTTAAAGCGGAGGCGACTGAAGAGGTGGAAGCAGATCCCTGGTCGGCAACGTCCAGCTCTGTCACATAACACAGGACACATCCATAAGAGGGCTTAAGATGTTATGAGGCTACATAAGAGATGATACTCCCTTATCATCAGGATATGTCTATAGAGTGCCTCTGTGGTAGGGCTCAGATGTACATTCTGCATGATTAATTTCTATGGTGAATATCCGGATCTGTGGCTCACCTGCCCTTCCTCTGCAGAGAGCTGGCCTTGGAGATCCACACCATCTTCAGCATGGTCACATGGTTCAGAGCATCAAAGGACTTCTGTGATGGCGAAACAATCACGTATCAGATTTGCTATTCCGTTGGGGTGGGGGGGGGCAGTATTCTTTGAAGGGGGGTGCAGTAAGTATTCTGTCAGCGAGTGTGTGCAGTATTCTATCAGAGGGGGTGTGCTTAATTCTATAGCTAGAGGACTCCTGATATCTCCAGGAGTGATAAGTATAATTGTTGTCTTAAATTCTGTCTAGTACTGTCTTTTTAATAGCTAGTGTAATCTACTTTAAGTGTTGTCTGTCTTCCCAGTAGCCTACTTGGTGTGTGAACTGCTGACTACTCATAATTTGCAGATTATTGTTGACACATCAACCCTGATTACGGGGCAGGGCAAGTTGTGACGGTTTTTGTTTTGGTCATCAGTGGCTGTATTGGAGGGGGAGTGGTTTCTCCTCTCCTAGGCAATTAGTGTTAGTACTTCAATCTCCCCTGTTTCTCAGCGGCAAGTGGCGGTCTCATCCGCGGCGGTCTCGTTGCCCAAACTAAAACAGTTTGGCCGAGCTGTTCTGCAGAGATATTCGAGGAAGGAAAGAGAGGTAGGCTCCACACCACTCTCTCACTTGAGTATCTTACCTAGTTATTTTCAGATCTCATTTTGCTGTTTTGTAGCTTTGGAAACTGTGTGTGTGTTTTCTATACCTGTTCGCTCCTCTCCCTGTAGGCTTTACAGACACTCCCCACCCCTTGGCTGTAACCCTTCTCATTTAGTGTATACTGCGCACACAACTCATGTGGAATTCCTGGTCTCCAGCAGCGTTTGGAACTGCCGATCTGCGGTCAAGAATGCAGAGTTCATCTCAGCCTATGCTGCCCTTCAGTCCCTAGACTTTTTGGCCGTTACAGAGACATGGATCACCCCAGAGAACACTGCTACTCCAACTGCTCGCTCTACATCTGACTACGTGTTCTCTCATAGTCCGAGAGGATCTCGTCGTCGCACAGGGCTATTCATTTCTCCTAAGTGGAGATGTTCCTCTTTTCTCCCTCACCTCAATTGAATTCAATGCAATCATTGTCACTTGTCCACTCAAGCTTAACATTGTCATCCATCGCCGACCAGGTGCCCTTAAGAGAGTTCCTTAATGAGCTTGACAAGCTAATTTCATGACGATGGCACACAGCTCTTCGTACTGGGCGACTTCAACCTTCCGACGTCTGCCTTTGATTAATTTCTTCTTGCCTCTTTTGACCTCACCCTTTCCCAGTCCACTCCCAATCACAAGGCAGGCAATATGCTTGACCTCATCTTTACTAGAGGCTGTTCTAGGCTTGGGCAGTATACTGTACAGTGCATTCGGAAAGTATTCAGACCCCTTCTCCAAAAATGTTTACGTTACAGCCTTATTCTAAAATGGATTTAAAAAAACCACATATATATATATATATATATATATATATATATCTCCTCATCAATCTACACACAATACCCCATAATGACAAAGCAAACATGTTTTTAGAATTGTTTTCAAATGTATTACAAATAAAAAACAGAAATAACTTATGTAAATAAGTATTCAGACCCTTTGCTATGAGACTCGAAATTGAGCTCATGTGCATCCTGTTTTCAATGATCATCCTTGAGCTTTTTATACAACTTGATTGGAGTCCACCTGTGGTAAAATCAATTGATTGGACATGATTTGGAAAGGAACACACCTGTATATATAGGATCCCACAGTTGACAGTGCATGTCAGAGCAAAAACCAAGTCATGTCGAAGGAATTGTCCGTAGAGCTAGGAGACAGGATTGTGTTGAGGCATAGATCGTGGAGAAGGGTACCAAAACATTTCTGTAGCATTGAAGGTCCCCAAGGACACAGTGGCCTCCATCATTCTTAAATGGAAGTAGTTTGGAACCACCAAGACTCTTCCTAGAGCTGGCCGCCCGGCCAAACTGAGCAATCGGGGTAGAAGGGCCTTGGTCAGGGAGGTGACCAAGAACCCGAAGGTCACTGTGCCAGAGCTCCTCTATGGAGATGGGGGAACCTTCCAGAAGGACAACCATCTCTGCAACACTCCACCAATCAGACCTTTATGGTAGAGTGACCAGACAGAAGCCACGCCTCGGTAAAAGGCACGACAGCCTGCTTGGAGTTTGCCAAAAGGCACCTAAAGGACTCACCTAAAGGACTCTCAGACTATGGGAATCAAGATTCTCTGGTCTGATGAAACTAAAATTGAACTCTTTGGCCTGCATGCCACACATCACATCTGGAGGAAATCTGGCACCATCTCTACAGTGAAACATGGTGGTGGCAGCATCATGTTGTGGGGATGTTTTTCAGCGGCAGGGACTGGGAGACTAGTTAGGATCGAAGGAAAGATGAACGGAGCAAAGTACAGAGAGATCCTTGATGAAAACCTGCTCCAGAGAGCTCAGGACCTCAGACTGGGGCGAAGGTTCACCATCCTACAGGACAACGACCATACGCACACAGCCAAGACAACGCAGGAGTGGCTTCGGGACAAGTCTCTGAATGTCCTTGAGTGGCCAAGCCAGAGCCCGGACTTGAACCCGATCGAACATCTCTGGAGAGACCTGAAAAAAGCTGTGCAGCGACACTCCCCATACAACCTGACAGAGCTTGAGAGGATATGCAGAGAAGAATGGGAGAAACTCCCCAAATACAGGTGTGCCAAGCTTGGAACCACCAAGAACACTCTAGGCTGTAATTGCTGCCAAAGGTACATGAACAAAGTACTGAGTAAAGGCTCTGAATAGTTAAGTAAATGTGATATTTTCGTTTTTTTATTTCTAAAAACCTGTTTTTGCTTTGTTATTATGGGGCATTGTGTGTAGATTGACGAGGGAAAAAACAATTTAATCAATTTTAGAATAAGGCTGTAACTTAACAAAATGTGGAAAAAGTCAAGGGGTCTGAATACACTATACATACACACCATATTAAGGGGAATTTGGAAAAAGCCACGGGATGATTTCAATACCGTCAAAACGATTTATTTGAACATTTGGAGCTGCTTTTTAAGTAAATACCTGCAGTCAACTTGTGCAATATGTTAGGAGATAAAAAAGATTGTTCTTCATTACACCTGTCACACAATTTTTCATTATGAAGCTTACCTGTAGTCCCCAGTCAAATGATACAAACCCACAAAAAATCCATTTTAATTTCAGGTTGTAAGGCAACAAAATAGGAAAAATGGCAGCAGTAGCCTTGTTTTCAAAGTGATTCTAACCTCTTTTACTTTTCCTGCGTCAATGACAAACACGACATCGTTGACGGTGATACTTGTCTCTGCGATGTTAGTGGAGAGAATCTGAGGAAGAGAAGAAAATACTTGATTTCTGAACAAGAAGCTGGGGTTGAATGGTATTTTGGTTTACAGGGACAATCAGCAGTTGCTACATACATTTTTGGACATATAAATTATTGATATTTACCCATTGATTCTTCAAGAATATAACTTATAAATGCCTCATGAGCTTAGTTCAACTGTCCTACCCCATCAGAACCCAAAATATAAACTTGTTTTACTCTGTTTGTAAACAAACACTATAAAGCTTCAAAACATGGTTAACCTCTACGGGATCAGTGTCCCGTATACAGGACGGTTGAGCTAACGTGCGCTAATGTGATTAGCATGACTGTTGTAAGTAACAGCCGACTTTCCAGGACATAGACATGTCTTATATGGGCAGAAAGCTTACATTCTTGTTAATCTAACTGCACTGTCCAATTTACAGTAGCTATTACAGTGAAAAAATACCATGCTATTGTTTGAGGAGAGCGCACAACAACAAAAAACGTATCACGGCAACTGGTTTGATACATTCACCTCTGAAGGTAAATAATGTACTTGCATTTAGTAATCTTGCTTTGATTTGTCATCTTAAGGGTCCCAGAGATAAAACGTAGCATAGTTTTGTTTGATAAAATCCATTTTTATATTCAAATGTAGGAACTGGGTTCTACAGTTTTGTGGTCCTCTGTAGCTCAGCTGGTAGAGCACGGCGCTTGTAACGCCAAGGTAGTGGGTTCGATCCCCGGGACCCCATACACAAAAATAAAAAATGTATGCACGCATGACTGTAAGTCGCTTTGGATAAAAGCGTCTGCTAAATGGAATATTATTATTATTATTATTATTATTATTATTATTATTACAGTTTGAACCCCTGCTGTCTCTTCCTCCACACCCAAACTGCCAAGCCATCTAGATGTGTGAAAGTTAGTGTATAAGCTAATGATCCATCATGTATGACATTCCTGGGAGTGTGTAAACGTACATTTTGTATTACCATATCATTTTTGTATGTTCTCTATAGTTATGTACTTGAAAATGTATCAATTGACCAATTCGGCACATTTGGGCAGACTTGATACAAAATAGTCCAGTATTGCAATGCTTCACTGGATCAATCTGAAACTTTGCACACACACTGCTGTCATCTAGTGGCCAAAATCTAAATTGTGCCTAAACTGCAATATTATATTGTGGCCTTTCTCTTGCATTTCAAAGATGATTAAAAAATAAACACGTTTTTTTGTTTGTATTATCTTTTACCAGATCTAATGTGTTATATCCTCCTACATTAATTTAACATTTCCACAAACTTCAAAGTGTTTCCTTTGAAATGGTATCAAGAATATGCATATCCTTGCTTCAGGTCCTGAGCTACAGGCAGTTAGATTTGGGTATGACATTTAAGGCGAAAATTGAAAAAAAGGGTCAGATCCTTAAAAGGTTAAAATATAATTTTGATATCATGGATGGTCAGTCCTTGCATCCATAGCTCTGTCTATGAATTTGAGAGTGGTTACATTTCTCCAGCCCCATCCCTCAGCTTTTTACACTTTGTTATTGTTTTTACTGCTGACTGCCACTTTAAGGAACACTTCGGGCCCCAAATGTAGGCTTAATTTAAGTGGTCAAACTGATCTTTGGTGTGTTAGCCAGCACGGCAGAAGTAAAAATACACTCACTATTTTCCGGACTCCAGCAGGAGTGTTCCTCAGCACTTTCTTCTGATCCGAGGTCTGCATGTTGGAGTGGAGTGTAAAGACCATGTACCTATGGAGAAATGACACACAGATCTGAGGTTCTAGACGTGGTTCAAACAGGACAAAAGGTCTATTTGTCCATTTAAAAAAAAAATCTAGTGAGGTTTCCTAATCTGACTTGCAAATGTGTTGGGTGTAAATTTTACATTTGGCTTGCATAAGCAGGAACATGGAGTAACAGCATGGAAAATAAGAAGTAAATAGATTGATGTACAGAATCATTACCACAAATAGACGAGCTAAGTTGAAATACCGATGGCCCAATTATCAACTATGTTGAGAGTGACACGTTGCTCTCGCCAGTCATTTAACTGACGGTACCTTTGAGAGTGATCTGTGAATATTTTATCGTCGTACAGGATACGGTCCCTCAGACCCACTATCTCATCGTATCCGGGGAGAAAGATCAACACCGCACCTGACATGGAAAAGATTTGAAATGAAATGGAACTTGTTGTTCAATACAAGCAAGGAAAATTGGCACTGACACTTTGTATCAAACATTTGAAAAGTACAAGACATCCAGTAGTCACTAAACAAAACTCGTCAAGTAGTCAACACACAAGACTATCAAGTAGTCACTAGACAAGACAATCTCTTACCGTCTTCTGAGCTGGTGCAAATGTTGTGCAGCAGGTGCATGATGAGGTCCAGGTCCACCCTCTCGTCGTCAAAGCTGTGGTGGTATTCCTTGAGCAGCTCCTGATCCTCCGGGCTCATCTCTGTGGTGGCCGCCTGCACCAGGGACCACTCGTCCAGCTTCCCCGCCTCCAGGGATGAGCTACCAAGGAAAGGAAGATTTCAGTTATCATCCTCCACAAACAAAGCCAGGGTTTCCATGTGGTCATTCATAATAATGATACAGTGATACACGGTGCTCTTACAGGAAGGATTCTAGTAGGTCCACCACTTCTGCCTGCTGAAAGTGCTTGGCCCAATCCAGTGCAGTCCTGAAACAAACCAAATACTGATCAAGATTTCAGACTTAGTTATGGTGTATAGAGTAACTAAAAATATGATGCATTTATACAGTTATTTAATAAACCCTTACCAGCCATTGGAGGCCTTGATTCTGATGCTGGCTCCCATACTCAGAAGCTGTTCAATCTGACTGAGGAAGCCTCGACCTGCTGCCACCATGAGGGGAGTGGCGCTCGTCTCACTGTGCATGTAGTCCACTGAGGAGCAGAAGGGGAGGAGGAAGACATATCTGGCTGATAACTATTGGGAATATTACTCTCAAAAATATACATTTTCTATAACATTGGTGTCATTATTTAATACACAAATGAGCACACTATATAAACAGAAGTATGTGGACACATCTTCGAATTAGTGGATTCGGCTATTTCAGCCACACCCGTTGCTGACAAGTGTATAAAATCGAACACACAGCCATGCAATCTCCACAGACAAACATTGGCAGTAGAATGGCCTTACTGAAGAGCTCAGTGACTTTCAACGTGGCACTGTCATAGGATGCCACCTTTCCAACAAGTCAGTTCGTCAAATTTCTGCCCTGCTAGAGCTGCCCCGGTCAATTGTAAGTGCTGTTATTGTGAAGTGGAAACGTCTAGGAGCAACAACGGCTCAGCCGTGAAGTGGTAGGCCACACAAGCTCACTGAATGGGACCACCGAGTGCTGAAGCGCATAAAAATCGTCTGTCTTCGTTTGCAACACTCACTACTGAGTTCCAAACTGCCTCTGGAAGCAACGTCAGCACAATAACTATTGGTCGGGAGCTTCACAAAATGGGTTTCCATGGCTGAGCAGCCGCACACAAGCCTAAGATCACCATGCGGAATGCCAAGCGTTGGCTGGAGTGGTGTAAAGCTCACCTCCATTGGACTCTAGAGCAGTGGAAACGCGTTCTCTGGAGTGAGGAATCACGCTTCACCATCTGGCAGTCCGACAGACAAATCTTGGTTTCGCGGATACCTGGAGAACGCTGCCTGCCTGAATGCATAGTGCCAACTGTAAAGTTTGGTGGAGGAGGAATAATGGTCTGGGGCTGTTTATCATGGTTCGGGCTAGGCCCCTGAGTTCCAGTGAAGGGAAATCTTAACGCTACAGCATAAAATGACATTCTTGACGATTCTGTGCTTCCAACTTTGTGGCAACAGTTTGGGGAAGGCCCTTTTTTGTTTCAGCATGACAATGCCCCCGTGCACAAAGCGAGGTCCATACAGAAATGGTTTGTCGAGATCAATGTGGATGAACTTGACTGGCCTGCACAGAGCCCTGACCTCAACACCATCGAACACCTTTGGGATGAATTGGAACGCCGACTGCAAGCCAGGCCTAATCGCCCAACATCAGTGCCCGACCTCACTAATGCTCTTGTGGCTGAATGGAAGCAAGTCCCTGCAGCAATGTTCCAGCATCTAGTGGAAAGCCTTCCCAGAAGAGTGGAGGCTGTTATAGCAGCAAAGGGGGGATCAACTCCATATTAATGCCCATGATTTTGGAATGAGATGGATGCATAATTAAGGATGCATACAAAACCCAGCTTACCGCTGACGTTCTCACTCAGGATGAGATTGAAGAGCTGGACGAAGGCGTCAGCGTCCTGGTTGAGGAAGATGTCTGAGATGCAGGCGTCCATCTCCTTCAGCAGCCACGGGTCCAATGACGCCACATCTTTCTCATTCTGAAACAAGACATCCTGTATCAAACTGATAACAAACCCAGTGCCACTTTTAGTAAGAACCAGGAAATATATCCTCAGTGACGTTGGTGAACTAAGGAGCAATCAGTGAATAATCAGAAAATAAGTAGTGGCATCACTTTGGTGCATCCAGAGTGTATATACACTGAAAATAACTGAAGCAACTGGAAAAATAACATCAAAATCATTAAGGATGTAACGATTCACCGATAAACATTTGAACCGGGGACCAATGCCTAAGATATGAGTGCGTAAGTCTGCAGGACCCCAAACAGATCCAAAATGTAGCATGCATTGTTCAGGAAATCGATTATTGTTAGCAAATGCGCTATACATTTTATCTAGCTATACATGCTGATCGGGGCTTACATTAAATTTCATTTTGATTGTTCAGGTTCACCATCAGCAATAGTTGGTAGGTAGTTTTGCTTGAAACAATCAGTATGTAGTCATTTTTAGATATACAAGGTAACGTTGATAATTTCATAAACGAGGACAACAAAATATTTTTCTACCCACACTGCATCGAAGTGGGAGAAGAAGAGAAACTCACTCGGTCATGACTAGAAGGGATACAGCTTTTGTCAAATTAATGTCAAACGTACAGTGGGGAAAAAAAGTATTTAGTCAGCCACTAATTGTGCAAGTTCTCCCACTTAAAAAGATGAGAGAGGCCTGTAATTTTCATCATAGGTACACGTCAACTATGACAGACAAAATGAGAAAAAAAATTGCAGAAAATCACATTGTAGGATTTTTTATGAATTTATTTGCAAATTATGGTGGAAAATAAGTATTTGGTTAATAACAAAAGTTTCTCAATACTTTGTTATATACCCTTTGTTGGCAATGACACAGGTCAAACGTTTTCTGTAAGTCTTCACAAGGTTTTCACACACTGTTGCTGGTATTTTGGCCCATTCCTCCATGCAGATCTCCTCTAGAGCAGTGATGTTTTGGGGCTGTCGCTGGGCAACACGGACTTTCAACTCCCTCCAAAGATTTTCTATGGGGTTGAGATCTGGAGACTGGCTAGGCCACTCCAGGACCTTGAAATGCTTCTTACGAAGCCACTCCTTCGTTGCCCGGGCGGTGTGTTTGGGATCATTGTCATGCTGAAAGACCCAGCCACGTTTCATCTTCAATGCCCTTGCTGATGGAAGGAGGTTTTCACTCAAAATCTCACGATACATGGCCCCATTCATTCTTTCCTCTACACGGATCAGTCGTCCTGGTCCCTTTGCAGAAAAACAGCCCCAAAGCATGATGTTTCCACCCCCATGCTTCACAGTGGGTATGGTGTTCTTTGGATGCAACTCCGCATTCTTTGTCCTCCAAACACGACGAGTTGAGTTTTTACCAAAAAGTTATATTTTGGTTTCATCTGACCATATGACATTCTCCCAATCCTCTTCTGGATCATCCAAATGCACTCTAGCAAACTTCAGACGGGCCTGGACATGTACTGGCTTAAGCAGGGGGACACGTCTTGCACTGCAGGATTTGAGTCCCTGGCGGCGTAGTGTGTTACTGATGGTAGGCTTTGTTACTTTGGTCCCAGCTCTCTGCAGGTCATTCACTAGGTCCCCCCGTGTGGTTCTGGGATTTTTGCTCACCATTCTTGTGATCATTTTGACCCCACGGGGTGAGATCTTGCGTGGAGCCCCAGATTGAGGGAGATTGTCAGTGGTCTTGTATGTCTTCCATTTCCTAATAATTGCTCCCACAGTTGATTTCTTCAAACCAAGCTGCTTATCTATTGCAGATTCAGTCTTCCCAGCCTGGTGCAGGTCTACAATTTTGTTTCTGGTGTCCTTTGACAGCTCTTTGGTCTTGGCCATAGTGGAGTTTGGAGTGTGACTGTTTGAGGTTGTGGACAGGTGTCTTTTATACTGATAACAAGTTCAAACAGGTGCCATTAATACAGGTAACGAGTGGAAGACAGAGGAGCCTCTTAAAGAAGAAGTTACAGGTCTGTGAGAGCCAGAAATCTTGCTTGTTTGTAGGTGACCAAATACTTATTTTCCACCATAATTTGCAAATAAATTCATTAAAAATCCTACAATGTGATTTTCTGGATTTATTTTCCTCAATTTGTCTGTCATTGTTGACGTGTACCTATGATAAAAATTACAGGCCTCTCATCTTTTTAAGTGGGAGAACTTGCACAATTGGTGGCTGACTAAATACTTTTTTTCCCCACTGTATATATTTGTTTTAGCACTTTAGCCAACCCTAACCCTTTTTCTAACCTTAACCTAATTATCCTAACCTGCTGCGTAAGTTCTCCTAACCTGCTAAGAAAAGTACAATCTGACAAACTGTATTCCATCTAGCCAAAACGAGCTCACTCCCAAGTTGACAAAACTTCCAAATTGTCTAAACCCCTCAAACTCAACTCTGGACCTCAAAGCCAGTTCAACTACATTTTTTTCTGAGACTGATTTAGACCTGGGACACCAGGTGTGTGTGCAGTTAATTATCAGGTAGAACAGAAAACCAGCAGGCTCCGGACCTCATAGGGTAAGGGATGAGTACCCCTAGTCTAAACCATTTGATTATGAGACGGGGTGAAATCCAAAGTTGTGCTACATTTCATACTCCCCTTCAACTTGGATAATAGCTTTAAAGCACACAGTACAGTTGTCTAGCAAATTGTCATTAAGCTTAACATTTTCCTTCATTGGCTATCTCATTGCTAATTTTTTTAGATAAATATTGATACATCACTAGCTCTAACACTTTTAATCAGCAACAATTACAAATTCATTAGTGGGTGATGGTGATTTCAGATCAAGTGTGTGTGTGGGGAGAGACAAAAAAAGCAAACATTAAACCACCCCCACCCCCCTAACTGATAGTGGGGTGGTAGATGCTCAGTTTCCCTTATGGCTCAGCTCAGGTGATTACACACACAAAAAAAATAGGCTCAGAGAGGCCCAGAGCATGAGCTCCATATTTTAGAATGGAAAATGAATGTGTTTATGCAACAAATGTTAGTGCATTGAATCATATCGCATATATTCATTCCTCTAATCAAACAGAATCGTTTGAAACTTAAATGTATCATATCGGAGCCCATGTACAGTACCAGTCAAAAGTTTGGACTCACTTATTTTTACATTGTAGAATAAAAGTGAAGACATCAAAACTATGAATTAACACTTGTGTTAGAACAGTGTTAAACAAATCAAAATATATTTGAGATTCTTCAAATAGCCACCCATTGCCTTGATGACAGCTTTGCACACTCTTGGCATTCTCTCAACCAGCTTCACCTGGAATGCTTTTCCAACAGTCTTGAAGGAGTTCCCACATACGCTGAGCACTTGTTGGCTGCTTTTCCTTCACTCTGCCGTCCAACTCATCCCAAACCATCTCAATTGGGTTGAGGTCGGGGGATTGTGGAGGCCAGGTCATCTGATGCAGCACTCCATCACTCTCCTTGAACTCTGTGAAGCATTTATTTGGGCTGCAAGTTCTGAGGCTGGTAACTCTAATGAATTTATCCTCTGCAGCAGAGGTAACTCTGGGTCTTCCATTCCTGTGGCAGTCCTCATGAGAGCCAGTTTCATCATAGCGCTTGATGGTTTTTGCGACTGCACTTGAAGAAACTTTCTTGAGGTTCGTGAAATGTTCCGTATTGACTGACCTTCATGTCTTAAAGTAATGATGACTGTCGTTTCTCTTTGCTTATTTGAGATGTTCTTGCCATAATATGGACTTGGTCTTTTACCAAATAGGGCTATCTTCTGTATACCCCCCCTACCTTGTCACAACACAACTGATTGGCTCAAACACATTAAGAAGGAAAGAAATTCCACAAATTAACTTTTAAGAAGGCACACCTGTTAATTGAAATGCATTCCAGGTGACTACCTCATGAAGCTGGTTGTTTAACACTTTTTTGGTTACTACATGATTCTATACAGTGAGGGAAAAAAGTATTTGATCCCCTGCTGATTTTGTACATTTGCCCACTGACAAAAAAATGATCAGTCTATAATTTTAATGGTAGGTTTATTTGAACAGTGAGAGACAGAATAACAACAACAAAATCCAGAAAAACACATGTCAAAAATGTTATAAATTGATTTGCATTTTAATGAGGGAAATAAGTATTTGATCCCTCTGCAAAACATGACTTAGTACTTGGTGGCAAAACCCTTGCTGGCAATCACAGAGGTCAGATGCTTCTTGTAGTTGGCCACCAGGTTTGCACACATCTCAGGAGGGATTTTGTCCCACTCCTCTTTGCAGATCTTCTCCAAGTCATTAAGGTTTCAAGGCTGACGTTTGGCAACTCGAACCTTCAGCTCCCTCCACAGACTTTCTATGGGATTAAGGTCTGGAGACTGGCTAGGCCACTCCAGGACCTTAATGTGCTTCTTCTTGAGCCACTCCTTTGTTGCCTTGGCCGTGTGTTTTGGGTCATTGTCATGCTGGAATACCCATCCACAACCCATGTTCAATGCCCTGGCTGAGGGAAGGAGGTTCTCACCCAAGATTTGACGGTACATGGTCCCGTCCATCGTCCCTTTGATGCGGTGAAGTTGTCCTGTCCCCTTAGCAGAAAAACACCCCCAAAGCATAATGTTTCCACCTCCATGTTTGACGGTGGGGATGGTGTTCTTGGGGTCATAGGCAGCATTCCTCCTCCTCCAAACACGGCGAGTTGAGTTGATGCCAAAGAGCTCGATTTTGGTCTCATCTGACCACAACACTTTCACCCAGTTCTCCTCTGAATCATTCAGATGTTCATTGGCAAACTTCAGACGGCCCTGTATATGTGCTTTCTTGAGCAGGGGGACCTTGTGGGCGCTGCAGGATTTCAGTCCTTCACGGCGTAGTGCGTTACCAATTGTTTTCTTGGTGACTATGGTCCCAGCTGCCTTGAGATCATTGACAAGATCCTCCCGTGTAGTTTTGGGCTGATTCCTCACCCTTCTCATGATCATTGCAACTCCACGAGGTGAGATCTTGCATGGAGCCCCAGGCCGAGGGAGATTGACAGTTATTTTGTGTTTCTTCCATTTGCGAATAATCGCACCAACTGTTGTCACCTTCTCACCAAGCTGCTTGGCGATGGTCTTGTAGCCCATTCCAGCCTTGTGTAGGTCTACAATCTTGTCCCTGACATCCTTGGAGAGCTCTTTGGTCTTGGCCATGGTGGAGAGTTTGGAATCTGATTGATTGATTGCTTCTGTGGACAGGTGTCTTTTATACAGGTAACAAGCTGAGATTAGGAGCACTGAGTGTGCTCCTAATCTCAGCTCGTTACCTGTATAAAAGACACCTGGGAGCCAGAAATCTTTCTGATTGAGAGGGGGTCAAATACTTATTTCCCTCATTAAAATGCAAATCAATTTATAACATTTTTGACATGCGTTTTTCTGGATTTTGTTGTTGTTATTCTGTCTCTCACTGTTCAAATAAACCTACCATTCAAATTATAGACTGATCATTTCTTTGTCAGTGGGCAAACGTACAAAATCAGCAGGGGATCAAATACTTTTTTCCCCTCACTGTATGTGTTATTTCATAGTTTTGATGTCTTCACTATTATTCTACAATGTAAAATATTTTGACAATAAAGAAAAACCCTTGAATGAGTAGGTGTGTCCAAACTTTTGACTGGTAGTGTATCTAGATACACATCGAATCGTTTTGAAAGGGAAAGATGCATATCCCTAGAAAACACGGATATTGAGAAATAAGCATGGCCCATATCCACTGTTGTTCTCACCAGCTGGGTGAAGACACTGTCCCCTCCGTCGTCCAGCAGGTCGTTCTCCTGAAGGACACAGGAGGCCGAGGTGGTCTTCTCCCTCTTAGGCTCCTGGCGGGAGCCGCCCTCATGCACCTTACACCACTCTGTCAGAGACGTCTGCTGTTTTTCCTCTGCCAGGGACGACACACGCATACACTCGTTCAGTCTTGGAGACACTGGACATCAAAGTGGAAATCAAGCAAACAAGGAATGACAGATGGTTGGTATTTACCCCTCTGGATCGCCTTTTTGTATTTCATCATGTCTTTGTTTGAATAGCCTGTTGTCCTCAAGATGTCTTCCAGGAAAAGTTGCTTTACCTCAAATGGTCTTCCTTTGACTAGATAAAAGCAGAAAAATTGATAAATCCTTAATTTCCCATTTCATTAATTTCACTTAACAAATCAATGCTGGCAGGACCAGTCAAGACAAGCACTAGCCCCTTCCATACAGATGTCTTCCCCTGCAATTAGCTGGCTTTTGCAGGTAATGGTTTCACTGGTGAATCCCGGTCCCAATTTCAAATGAATAGATTAGGTGATTCTGTAGTGATTTCTGCACTCTCCTCTCTGGATGTGGCCTATCCAAACACATGGGGATTACTTACTGTGGATGACAGGACAGGAGCCAAAGTAGCGGAGGAACAGCTCCACGTCCAGGGCAGCGCTGGACAGGATGAGCTTCAGATTGGGCATCGTCTGGAGCATGTCCCTCATCTTGGTCAGCAGGAAGTCACTCAGGCCGTCCCGCTCGTGAACCTCATCCTGATTGGATAAGAGGCAGGACGTACAGGCTTAACAGTATTAAGTCATTGATGTGCATTCATACAGCAGACCCAAAGATTTTTATAACTAACTCAAGATAGACCACAGCCTGTCGTTTCCAATGGGAGCAAATTAATCATAGTGGGCAGAACAAGCAAGGAGGTGGGCAGAGCCAAGCACAAACTAGCGAGATCCTATTGGCGTTTTCTAGCACATGTTTGCATATTTATGTTAGGGAACGCCTACTCTGTGAAGTGCGTGTGTGTGTGCAATAGCTAAATCCGCCCTTGCAGTCCTTCTAAACAACGCAATTTTTAAACATTTTGGTAAAGGGTAAAGTCTACAAAACATTCTGTTCGTAACAGATCTTAGTTTTGGGGAAATAAAACTATATTGAGATGAAAATGTTTTATCGATGAGAAAATTTGCAGAATGTCGGCCAAAATCCATCACGCTCCATCTTCTCCCACTGGACTTCCTCATCACCATATTTGGTGGTGAGTGGAAATGCCAACCGGATGCTTCAGATTTATACATCCGGTGAAACATCTGGCTCATTGTTCTATCTGTGGCAGACCTGACAACTTTGAATAATTGTTTATGAGTACCACTTCAGCGCGGCGGCAGCACCCCAGGCCCCCACGATGGTGTGCGTGCTACACCCACACTGCTCAAATCGTACGCAAATGCAATTTTTTTGGCCTAATAATGATGTTGGCAGAAGACTGCCTCAGTAGGAATGGTAGGCTATAGACTGTTACGGGTACTTGGTACTACTAGACCATGGTACTTGCCTTCGGAGCAGCAAGGTACTACCTTCAGGCTATGCTCAAACCCTATACCCCAACCTGAGTACTCTGTTCTGCCACCTCTGGTTTCTTGGCCCTCCCACCCCTATGGGAGGGCAGCTCCCATTCAGCCCAGTCCAAGCTCTTCTCTGCCCTGGCACCCCAATAGTGGAACCAGCCTCCCCCTGAAGCTAGGACAGCAGAGTCCCTGCCCATCATCCGAAAATATCTGAAACCCTACCTTTTCAATGAGTATGTTAAATAATCCCAGAGCACCCACACCAAATAAAATTGTATTTCGTGAACTAACACTCGTACTTGACTTTCTTACCCCCTCCCTTACTAGCTCCGAATTTGCTGATACAGTGAGGGAAAAAAGTATTTGATCCCCTGCTGATTTTGTACGTTTGCCCACTGACAAAGACATGATCAGTCTATAATTTTAATGGTAGGTTTATTTGAACAGTGAGAGACAGAATAACAACAAAAAAATCCCAAAAACACATGTCAAAAATGTTATAAATTGATTTGCATTTTAATGAGGGAAATAAGTATTTGACCCCCTCTCAATCAGAAAGATTTCTGGCTCCCAGGTGTCTTTTATACAGGTAACGAGCTGAGATTAGGAGCACACTTTTAAAGGGAGTGCTCCTAATCTCAGTTTGTTACCTGTATAAAAGACACCTGTCCACAGAACCAATCAATCAATCAGATTCCAAACGCTCCACCATGGCCAAGACCAAAGAGCTCTCCAAGGATGTCAGGGACAAGATTGTAGACCTACGCAAGGCTGGAATGGGCTACATGACCATCGCCAAGCAGCTTGGTGAGAAGGTGACAACAGTTGGTGCGATTATTCGCAAATGGAAGAAACACAAAAGAACTGTCAATCTCCCTCGGCCTGGGGCTCCATGCAAGATCTCACCTCGTGGAGTTGCAATAATCATGAGAACGGTGAGGAATCAGCCCAGAACTACACGGGAGGATCTTGTCAATGATCTCAAGGCAGCTGGGACCATAGTCAACAAGAAAACAATTGGTAACACACTACGCCGTGAAGGACTGAAATCCTGCAGCGCCCGCAAGGTCCCCCTGCTCAAGAAAGCACATATACATGCCCGTCTGAAGTTTGCCAATGAACATCTGAATGATTCAGAGGAGAACTGGGTGAAAGTGTTGTGGTCAGATGAGACCAAAATCGAGCTCTTTGGCATCAACTCAACTCGCCGTGTTTGGAGGAGGAATGCTACCTATGACCCCAAGAACACCATCCCCACCGTCAAACATGGAGGTGGAAACATTATGCTTTAGGGGTGTTTTTCTGCTAAGGGGACAGGACAACTTCACTGCATCAAAGGGACGATGGACGGGGCCATGTACCGTCAAATCTTGGGTGAGAACCTCCTTCCCTCAGCCAGGGCATTGAAAATGGGTCGTGGATGGGTATTCCAGCATGACAATGACCCAAAACACACGGCCAAGGCAACAAAGGAGTGGCCTAGCCATTCTCCAGACCTTAATCCCATTGAAAATATGTGGAGGGAGCTGAAGGTTTGAGTTGCCAAACGTCAGCCTTGAAACCTTAATGACTTGGAGAAGATCTGCAAAGAGGAGTGGGACAAAATCCCTCCTGAGATGTGTGCAAACCTGGTGGCCAACTACAAGAAACGTCTGACCTCTGATTGCCAACAAGGGTTTTGCCACCAAGTACTAAGTCATGTTTTGCAGAGGGGTCAAATACTAATTTCCCCTCATTAAAATGCAAAATCAATTTATAACATTTTTGACATGCGTTTTTCTGGATTTGTTTGTTGTTATTCTGTCTCTCACTGTTCAAATAAACCTACCATTAAAATTATAGACTGATCATTTCTTTGTCAGTGGGCAAACGTACAAAATCAGCAGGGGATCAAATACTTTTTTCCCCTCACTGTAGCTACTTTGAGGAAAAATGTACTGACTGTGATAGGTGGTTGTCCCACCTATCCATTTTAAGATGAATGCACTCTGGACAAAAGCGTCTGCTAAATGACTAAATTGTAAATTAACTGGCTGCTCTTCAGTAGCTAACTAGAAATACGTTTAAAATGTACAATCAGGGCTATCCCTAGGATTTTCTGATAAGGTGGTGCTGATGTAGGACTAAGGTCGGGAAGGGGCGAGGTCCGGAGGGGGTCAGTCAATTTCCCCCTCAGGAAGTTGGAGCATTTTGTATTTTTGAAAAACGTGTTACTGCCATTTTCTGAAACCTAGAGTCTTAAATGATATCAAACATTGTAGCCAACACAGAAGTCGTGTTTAATCCTAAATTAAATTGTGGTGGTCTCAATGAAATTTAGGGGGTAATGAATATAGTTTCAAGTTTTAATGCCACGTGCACAAGTACATTGAAATGCCTTTCTTGCAAGCTCTAAATTCTAATTCATGTCTTTATGTGGATAGAAAATGTAAACTGGCTTCTTAATTTTGCTTGGGGAGAAAATTATTTATTCAATTACTGGATGCATTGTAGTAGTCTAGCTTACTGTAGACTATTTGGAATATGAAACAACTGAACTAGGCCTATATGAGCTTGTTTCAGATCTCCATTCCTGACCAAACCATCTAGTTTGGTCTGACTACTAGGCTACCATTCATTCAGCATACCTTGTTGTCATTGGTGAACTGACTATTATCACATAATTAGCAGCCTACTGTTGACATACAGCTAGCTATATGAAGAGGAGATCAAGAACGGATTTATTAACATAGGCATACTAATCTTTAACAGTCTAACATAACTTTTGTGAAGGATGATATTAGTGGAACAGCTCTGTATGCCATGTCAGTTTCCATCCACACAGCAACGTGCACTGAACTACCGCAACACCGCAAATGTTTCCTTGTTCGTCAATGTGCGTGCGCCTACTACAGTTGTGGAGATCAAAGCATGTGCGGGCAAGAAAGTGTCCTCGCTTAATTGACTAAACGCTGTAGCTAACTACCTTTGACGTCATGTGCTTGACTAACACATACAATTTTGGAAAATGTATTTGGCAAACAGTTCGTTCTCCATTTTCCCTACCCTTTTTCCTAACACATCAGTCGTATCAACAGACGAAGAGGAGCGCTGCCATCCAGCCAGATCGAGGGAGGAAAATAGTACTACGACTATAGCGGCAGGCCGGAGCGGAGAGCTAGAGATTTCTTCTCTTTGCCCAAGACGTCTGATTGGCTCAGTTCCAACTTCAGACGGTTGAGTCAAAAACCACAATATGCCAACTAGAAGCCTTTTTTGCGTATTTTAGGTTAGTTGTTCGTACCAGTGTACTTTGACCTCAAATTGCGTGCATGGTATGCAAAATGCATGCTGGTTGACAGTTCTGCATACAGTCAAGGCAGTGAACTATAACAAAAGGGTAACAATAACTTGTACTCACCACAATGACATGAGTAACAGCGGACATTGTGGCGTCTCCGGCCATCAGTGTTCTCAGCAGGACTCCGCTGGTGCAAAAGGTCAGCAGAGTCTTAGGAGAAACCCTGAGGGGTCAACCAGAGTCATTAATTTCCGCACAGCAGCTCAGTCAAAGTAGACCTAGTTAGTGCCTCCCCTCCCTCCCTCCCTTTCTTCGCTCCTACCTGCTCTCCAGGCGGATCTGGTAGCCAATGGTCTGACCGATGCTCTCCCCTCTCTCCGCGGCAACCCGCTCCGCCACAGCGATGGCTGCCAGACGCCGGGGCTGCGTGCAGAAGATCCGACAGGGGATCCCATTTCGGCTGCAGTCATCCAGGAGGAACTGTGGGATCTGGAATGGCAAAACACTTCCCATTTAGTTTCTAGATGATCAGGAACTCTATTGACAAATGTAATACCTTTGTAGGCCATACAGTGCCTTCAGAAAGTATTCACACGCCTTGACTTTTCCCACATTGTTGTTACAGCCGGAATTTAAAATGGATTAAATTTAGATTTAGTGTCACTGGCCTACACACAATACCCCATAATGTCAAAGTGGAATTATGTTTTTAGAAAAGAAAATTGTTTAATTAAAATGAAAAGCTGAAATGTCTTGAGTTAACAAGTATCCAATCCCTTTGTTATGGCAAGCCTAAATAAGTTCAGGAGTAAAAATGTGCTTAACAAGTCACATAAGTTGCATGGACTCACTCAGTGTCCAATAACAGTGTTTAACATGATTTTTTTAATGACTACCTCATATCTGTACCCCACACATACAATTATCTGTAAGGTCCCTAAGTCAAGCAGTGAATTTCAAACACAGATTCAACCACAAAGACCAGGGAGGTTTTCCAATGTCTCGCAAAGAAGGGCACCTATTGGTAGATAATAATAATAATAATAATAATAATAATAATAATAATAATAAGCCATTTAGCAGACGCTTTTATCCAAAGCGACTTACAGTCATGCGTGCATACATTTTTTTTTGTGTATGGGTGGTCCCGGGGATCGAACCCACTACCTTGGCGTTACAAGCGCCGTGCTCTACCAGCTGAGCTACTGAGAACCACAGATAACAATTAAATAAAGCAGACATTGAATATCCCTTTGAGCATGGTGAAGTTATTAATTACACTTTGTACGGTGTATCAATACACCCAATCACTACAAAGATACAGGCGTCCTTCCTAACTTAGTTGCCGGAGAGGAAGGAAACCGCTCAGGGATTTCACAATGAGGGCAATGGTGACATTAAAACAGTTACAGAGTTTAATGGCTGTGATAGGAGAAAACTGAGAATGGATCAACAACATTGTAGTTACTCCACAATGCTAACCTAAATGACAGAGTGAAAAGAAGGAAGCCTGTACAGAATACAACATTTTCCAAAACATGCAACCTGTTTGCAATAAGGCACTAAAATAATACTGCAAAAAATGTGGCAAAGAAATTAACTATATCCTGAATATAAAGCATTATGTTGTTTGGGGCAAATCCAGCAACACATCACTGAGTACCACTCTTTCAAGCATGATGGTGACTGCATCATGTTATGGGTATGCTCGTCACCGGCAAGGACTAGGGTGTTTTTAGGATAAAAAGAAACGGAAGAGCTAAGCACAGGCAAAATCCTAGAGGAAAACCTGGTTCAGTCTGCTTTCCAACACACACTGGGAGATAAATTCACCTTTCAGCAGGACAATAACCTAAAACACAAGGCCAAATTTACACTGGAGTTGCTTACCAAGATGACATTGAACACTTGAAAATCTATGGCAAGACTTGAAAATGTCTGTCTAGCAACAACCAACTTGACAGAGCTTGAAGAATTTTAAACATAATAAAAATGTGCAAATATTGTACAATCCAGACTTACCCAGAAAGACTCACAGAAGTAAATCGCTGTGAAAGGTATTGACTCAGGGGTGTGCCCATTATTCTTTTGAAAATTCTTCAAGCTCTGTCAAATTAGTTGTTGATCATTGCTAGATTTTCAGGTCTTGCCATAGATTTTCAATTAGATTTAAGTCAAAACTGTAACTCGGCCACTCAGGAACATTCACGATCTTCTTGGTAAGCAACTCCAGTGTAGATTTGTCATTGTGTTTTAGGTTATTGTCCTGTTGTAAGGTGAATGTATCTCCCAGTGTCTGGTGAATAGCAGAATGAACCAGGTTTTCCTCTAGGATTTTGCCTGTGCTTAGCTCCATTCCGCTTCTTTTTTATCCTGAAAAGCTCCCCAGTCCTTAACGATTACAAGCATACCCATAACATGATGCAGCCACCACTATGCTTGAAAATATGGAGAGTGGTACTCAGCAAAGCGTTGTATTGGATTTGCCCCAAACATAACACTTTTCATTCAGGACAAAAAGTGAACTGCTTTTCCAATGTTTTTTTGCAGTATTACTTTAGTGCCTTGTTGCAACCAGGATACATGCTTTGGAATATGTTTTGTTCTGTACCGGCTTCCCTCTGTTTCAATTAGGTTAGTATTGTGGAGTAACTACAATGTCCTCAGTTTTTTCCTATCACAGCCATTAAACTCAGTAACTTTTAAAGTCATTATTTGCCTCATGGTGAAATCCCTGAGCGGTTTCCTTCCTCTCCGGCAACTGAGTTAGGAAGGACGCCTGTATCTTTGTAGTGACTGGGTGTATTGATACACCATCCAAAGTGTAATTAATAACTTCACCGTGATCAAAGGGACATTCAATGCCAGTTATATATTTTTTTACCCATCTACCAATAGGTGCCCTTCTTTGCGAGGCACTGAAAAACCTCCTTGGTCTTTGTGGTTGAATCTGTGTTTGAAATTCACTGCTCGACTGAGGGACCTTACAGATAATTGTATGTGTGGGGTACAGAGATGAGGTAGTCATTCAAAAATCATGTTAAACACTATTATTTCTAACAGAATGAGTCCATGCAACTGATGGTGAATTGTTAAGCACAGTTTTACTCCTGAACTTATTTTTGCTTACCATAACAAAGGGGTTGAATACTTATTGACTCAAGACATTTCAGCTTTTCATTTTTAATTAATTTGTTTAAAAAAACTGAAAACATAACTCCACATTGACATTATGGGGTATTGTGTGGAGGCCAGTGACACAAAATCTAGATCAATTTTAAGTTCAGGCACAACAAAATGTGGAAAAACTCCAGGGGTGTGAATACTTAAGGCACTGTATGTGGACAGCGATGTAAAATGTTTCTCCCCCTCACCTGTGTAGTTTTCCCCGAGCCGGTCTCCCCCACCACTAGGACCACACGGTTGTCTTTGATGACCTGGACGATCTCCTCCTGGCGCTCGTACACAGGAAGCGAGCGGCGGAAGAAGTCCAGTTCAGATGGGCCCCTCCTCTGGGGCACCTGGGGGATGCCGTTGTTGAGCCGCCCGCTGGTCCTGTTCTTGTCACGGCTGCTCTCTGGTGGAGAAAAAGAGGGGCAGAGGAATGTTAAAACTTTGTATTGTCAATTCATTATTTTAACAGATTGATCATTTATTCATCCATCAGTACATTGTTATTAAAAACAAAAGTTGACAAGGTCTCCCATTGACATCAATGCATTATTAACCCTGAAATGTAACTGCCAATCACCAGCCTCAATAGCCACAGACAAGCCCCTCTCAGTGCGAGGAAGTAGGTCTGTGCGCTCCTTGTTGGTGATGGGGAACCTCTGCAGCAGGCTGCGCACCACGTGCTTGGAATTATGGGAAAGGTTGAAAGTCATGATGGACTGGGCCGTCTCCGAGCCATCCTTCTTTCTGATAGTGAGGGTCCGGCTTGATCCTTTTCTGAAAATGAATGAATTAAGGCTGTTAGACTTGAAGCACAGCATGCTTTAGTAAACCTGATGGATACTTTTAGGGAGTTACACTTACGGTACAATATCGGGGAGGGATACACAAACTTTTCTATTCAAGTTCCGCTTTCAAACGGGAGTATCCGAGGTTGACCTAAAGACTATGGGCTCTGACCCCTGATGTCAATTTGGATAGCTCACCCTCTGCTTTTAGAGATATATCCCAGGGACTGTGCAAAGCGATGGATGAAGGCCCTCTCAGTACTAGACAGGGAGGAAGGAAACTCCATTTCTGTAAAATCAAAAAAACTACCGTAATGTAGTATACTACATCACATAATCCAAATTTCTCCATGAAGCACCACTTCATAGCATGAGTAGAATGACAATTTCCTGTTACCTTTTTGTTCACTGTACTGAAATCTCTCAAGGGAGATGTTCACAGCAATCTTAACTTCTTCGTCGATGCGTATGTCTTTCAGCCCTTTGCCCCTGGGCCCCCCACCACCAGAGTGTTTTGATTGGCCCATGGCAGGCTTGGTTGAGGCATTACTAGGACGTGACATGATGCACTGTAGAACACAAGAGTTCATCAAATGTAGCTAGCTAATGAGCAACCAACTATACGTTGCAATCTCCCTAGATGACGGTCACATTTTAGTTACTTGAGACAAAGGGTTGAGCTAATATGCAAGTGGCCAGATGCTGACAAAGACTCAATGTTAGCTACTTCTTACTGACTCTCCTCTACCTAACGTTAGTTATTCATAAACTCGGACATAACTTTGCTAGCAAAAAGTTAGCTAGCACCTGAGGCTGAGCTTCTGTGAGCCATAAATTACTTTTAGCAAACCTTTTAGTAAAATTCTAATTATGCCATTTGTGATGATGTTGTTAGCCACCTCAACTAACTCGTTAGTAACTCAGAAACATAGCTAGCTAGCTCCTATCTGCAAGCATAAACTAGCTGTCTAGTTCGCAAACCCGGTACGGGTAGCTAGCTATCGTTAGCCAGGTTGCTAGCTAGCTAGCGGAGTTTAGCTAGCTAACGTTAACTAGCTAGCATAACTACAGAGATATAGAAAACGTGTCATTGAACTGTATCCATCCTTGAGTTAATTATACATGCATGTCATATATACAATGTTTCACATGTAGCTAGGTAACGTTTTAGCTAGCTAATACCTATGTCAGATCCCGCTCGTGCGCCTCTGTTCGTCTAATCCAGTAGTTTGTAAACACCAGCCGACCGATTTAATGAGATTCAGATCAATCACACAGCCACTGCTAAGGTGCATAGTCAGAGATGGGAAACTTGATTGGAATCGTATTAACGCCCAATGTGTGCGTTGCCCATGTTACGTCAATGTGCCACGTGGTGCATTCTAGGCGATTCAGGGACAAGGAGAGCTCTCCTTCAAGAAGTGAATGGGAGTCAATGGGCGCTAGCTCAAAAAACTAACATTAGCATGAATTTCATCAAGAAGAAGTACAACATTACGAATATTTTCCGAGATGTTAATTAATTAACTTGCTATCTGTAATATTGTATAGCTTTGGAATCGTGACATTACGTACTTTGTAGGAAAATAGGCACGTTTCTCGACTCATACCCTGACTTTGAGAAGGGACCACGTCACGCAGCATGACAACGTGAACGCGATTGGTCGAAAGTCTGCTGGGTGGGGTTTTATAAATTCCTCCATTTATTGCCCAATGGATTTCCTATTCCCTCCTTTCTCTAATAATTCTGGCATATTCCACCACAGTATGAGTCATAATACACATACAACCTAGCGATCGAAATGGTTCCAATCGTTTTTTCACCATTCATTTTTCCCATAGGGGATTTTAGAACCACTTAAAATAAGGTCTGTGTTTCGTGTAAGCTTACACTGGTATGACGTTTTGAGAACTGTGTAAATCCTGTCCTGTGTGGCTCAGTTGGTAGAGCATTGCACTTGCAACGCCAGGGTTGTGGGTTATATTCCCACGGGGGGGCAGTATGAATCAATAAGAAAATGTATGCACTCACTACTGTAAGTCACTCTGGATAAGAGCTTCTGCTAAATGACTAAAATTTTTAATTATAAACTGGGTGGTTTGAGCCCTGAATTCTGATTGGCTGAAAGCCATGGTATATCAGACCCTATACCACGGGTGTGACAAAACATGTAGTTTTAATGCTCTAATTACGTTGGTAACCAGTTTATAATAGCAATAAGGCTCCTCTGGGGTTTGTGATATATGGCCAATATACCACGGCTAAGGGCTGTGTCAAGGCACTCCGCGTTGCGTCGTACATAAGAACAGCCCTTAGCCGTGGTATATTGGCCATATACCACACCACCTCGGGCCTTATTGCTTAAATGTATCTCTCTCAGACAAAGTAACTTTTATCAATATGTTTGCCTCTATTTCCCCCCCAAATATGAAATGCTAAATAGCCACCAATGTGGCTATCATACAGAATTACACATCCTGTCGCAAGCATTGACGTCATCACTCAAGGCAGTGTTGATGGTGCTTTGAAGACAACTGGGAACTCTGAATAATACGAGGTGAAATCATGACGTCAGTAATCTTCAGGTCGGAAAGTCAGAGCTCTAGAAAGAGGCCCGAGTTCCCAAGTTGAATTCCGAGTTAGATTACCATTCAAAAATATTTCTTTTCAGAGTTCCCAGTTGTCTTGAACGCACTAAAGTCGGAAGTCAGAGATTTCCCAGTTCCCAGTTCCCAGTTCCCAGTTCCCAGTTGTTTTGAATGAGGCGTGAGTACCAAAGTATGAGTCAAAATACCAATAAAGCCCGGAAATGGTTCCAATCGTTTTTCCACCATTCATTTTTCTGTAGGGGATTTTAGAACTACTTAATATAAGGTCAGTGTTTTGTGTAGGCGTACCCTTGGTTCCAATCGTTTTTCCACCATTCATTTTTCTGTAGGGGATTTTAGAACTACTTAATATAAGGTCAGTGTTTTGTGTAGGCGTACCCTTGCGTGACGTTTTGATAACCGCGCAAATCTATCTCGGACAAGGTAACTTTTATCAATATATTCGCCTGTAATTACCCCCCAAAAATGAAATACTAATTAGCCGCTAATGTGGCTATCATATGTAACCGGTGTGAAATGGCTAGCTAGTTAGCGGTGCGCACTAGTAGCATTTCAATCGGTGACGTCACTCGCTCTGAGACCTTGAAGTAGTTGTTTCCCTTGCTCTGCAAGGGCCGCGGCTTTTGTGGAGCGACGGGTAACGGTGCATCGAGGGTGACTGTTGTTGATGTGTGCAGAGGGTCCCTGGTTCAAGCCCAGGTAGGGGCGAGGAGAGGGACGGAAGCAACACTGTTACATTGGTGCGAGGGACAGGAACAGGCCGGACCGGGCTGGCGACGCGCACCACTGGCTTGGTGCGAGGGGCAGGAACAGGCCGGGCCGGGCTGGCGACGCGCACCACTGGCTTGGTGCGAGGAGCAGGAACGGGCCGGGCCGGGCTGCGAAGGCGGACTGGAGGTCTGGAGCGGAGAGCTGGCACAACCCGTCCTGGCTGGCTACCCACTTTCGCACTACACGTGCGGGGCGCTGGCACAGGACGCACTGGGCTGTGCACGCGTACTGGCGATATAGTACGTAGAACCGGCGCAGGATATGCGGGACCGAGGAGGCGTACTGGAGACCAGGAGCGTTGAGCCGGCACACCCCGTCCTGGCTGGATGCCCATCTTCGCACGGCACGTGCGTGGTGCTAGCACAGGACGTACAGGGCTGTGCCGGCACACTGGCGACACAGTACGTAGCTCCGCATAACACGGAGCCTGCCCAGTCACACGCCTCCTCGCGTGAGTACGGGGAGTTGGCTCTGCTCTAACACTAGGCTCCGCCAACCACCCTTTTAGCCCCCCCCAAAAAAATTATTGGGGCTGTCTCTCGGGCTTCTTCTTCGGCCGGCGCCTTCTGCGTTGCCGCTGCTCCTCTCTATACCGCGCCTCCACTGTCTCCTCCCAAGGACGGCGATCCATCCCGGCCTGAATCTCCTCCCATGTCTAGGAACCCTTTCCTTCCAGGATGGGGTGTGGGATCTTCTGTCACGTTCGTTCATTGACGGGTCAGACCAAGGCGCAGCGTGATATGCATACATGTTTATTAATTGAATAAACACAACGACAAAACAATAAACTAACGACACGTGACGTCCTAAGGTACACACAACAAACCTCACACGGAACAAGATCCCACAACTTAACGAGTGCCAATAGGCTGACTAAGTATGATCCCCAATCAGAGACAACGAGTGACAGCTGCCTTTGATTGGGAACCACACCGGCCAACATAGAACTACACATCTAGATCACAACATAGACCTACACCACATAGAAAATACACACCCTGACTCAACAAATAAGAGTCCCCAGAGTCAGGGCGTGACAGCTAGCGTTTGTGTGCATATACAGTACCAGTCAAAGGTTTGGACACACCTACTCATTCAATGGTTTTTCTTTATTTGAATTTTTTTTACATTGTAGAATAACATTGAGGACATCAAAAATGATGAAATAACACATATGGAATCATGTAGTAACCAAAAAAGTATTGAACAAATCAAAATATATTTGAGATTTGAGATTCTTCAAATAGCCACCCTTTGCCTTGATGACAGCATTGCACACTCTTGGCATTCTCTCAACCAGCTTCACCTGGAATGCTTTTCCAACAGTCTTGAAGGAGTTCCCACATATGCTGACCACTTGTTGGCTGCTTTTCCTTCACTCCGCCATCCGACTCATCCCAAACCATCTCAATTGGGTTGAGGTCGGGGGATTGTGGAGGCCAGGTCATCTGATGCAGCACTCCATCACTCTCCTTCTTGGTCAAATAGCCCTTACACAGCCTGGAGGTGTGTTGGGTCATTGTCCTGTTGAAAAACAAATGATAGTCCCACTAAGCGCAAACCAGATGGGATGGCGTATCGCTGCAGAATGCTGTGGTAGCCATGCTGGTTAAGTGTGCCTTGAATTCTAAATAAATCACAGACAGTGTCACCAGCAAAGCACCCCCACACCATAACACCTCCTCCTCCATTCTTTACGGTGGGAACTACACATGCAGAGATCATCCGTTCACCCACACCGCGTCTCACAAAGACACAGCGGTTTGAACCAAAAATCTCAAATTTGGAATTTCCATTGCTCGTGTTTCTTGGCCCAAGCAGGTCTCTTCTTATTATTGGTGTCCTTTAGTAGTGGTTTCTTTGCAGCAATTCGACCATGAAGGCCTGATTCACACAGTCCCCTCTGAACAGTTGATGTTGAGATGTGTCTGTTACTTGAACTCTGTGAAGCATTTATTTGGGCTGCAAGTTCTGAGGCTGGTAACTCTAATGAACTTATCCTCTGCAGCAGAGGTAACTCAGGTCTTCCACTCCTGTGGCGGTCCTCATGAGAGCCAGTTTCATCATAGCGCTTGATGGTTTTTGCGAATGCACTTGAAGAAACTTTCAAAGATCTTGAAATGTTCCGTAATGACTGACCTTCATGTCTTAAAGTAATGATGGACTTTTACCAAATAGGGCT